CACCAGCTGAACCTCCAGTCGCGTGTCTCGCAGCCGGGGGCTTCACCGACCAGTCTTTGGACTGGGTCCACTGGTATTGGTTCGGGCTTTCGTGTCGAGGGCTGCCTTGCGCTTGTCCGCAACACCTCTGCGGACAAGCTCTCGGCTCGCGCCATCCCCTGTGTCTTCCTTGGTTTCCGGGCGGACTCCTCCGACTACACCTTTTACCACCTGCCCCTCCACCGGTTCCTAGACTCCCGTGAGGTCTGTTTTGATGAGTCTGTGTCCTCTACACCCGGTACCCTTGTCAAGGTCTCCCGGTTCCTCCCCTCCTCTTTTCCTCACCCCTACTCCTCCTGCTCCAACTCCTCCGGTACCCCCCCCCCCCCCCCCCCCGCAGTCCCCCTTCAATTCGCCTCCGTGGCCTTCGGCCCTTCCGCGACAGGTTCCTGTGGGCTTAGGGGGTGCTTCCACTGGGGGTGCTGCCACTGGGGGTGCTGCAGTTGGGTGTACTGGCACTGGCGGTGCTAGTTCTGGGGGTGATCGTTCGAGGGGCACGACCGCTGCGGGTACTGGAGCTGGGGCTGCGGGCGCTGGAGGTGCTGGCACTGGAGGTGCTCGTACGGGAGGCGCTAGTGCTGGGGTCCTTGACACTTGCGTCTCTAGCTCTAGGGGTGCTGACAGTGGCTGTGCTAGCTCTGAGGGGGTTGGAGTTGGGGGCACTGCTACTTCGTCGTCTTCTGCGCCCCCCCACCGCTACGACACTGCTCGGCGTGCCCGCGAGGAGCAGGAGCAGTTGGAGCAGGAGAGGCGGGAGTTGCAGCAGCTGGACCAGCAGGAGCAGCAGCAGCAGGAACAACAACAGCAGCAGGAGCAGCAGCAGCCGCAGCAACAGCAGCCGCAGCGGTTCCCACGAGTGAGTTGCCTTAGGGCCCTTGGTCTACCCTCGCCTCCTCCTACCCGCTCACCGTCTCCTCCCCTTGTTGGTCCTCCGCTTCCTCCTCAGGATCCATCGCCGATGTTTACTCTCCTCCTCAGTCCCCGTATCCACTTCCCGTTGTCCCGCACTCTCGCGTCCGTCCCTGCCCTCCGCGTGCGCGTCCCTCGTCTCCTGTTGCCAACCTCCACTCGGCCCTCCTTTGTTCTAGTCGTCGTGGTTCTCCTCCTACGTCTGTCCTCCTGTCTCCTCCTTCGTCGTCCCTTCGTGTCTCCCCTACTCTTATCTCCGACTACTACTGTGTTGTTCGTCCTATTCCCTGTTCTTGCCTCTCTTGTCACCGACCCTCCTTCCTCTCCGTCCTCTGTCTCGGCTCTTACTGCCACTGTCGCTGACTTTGCTACGTGTGTTGTAGCTACTCCGCATGCCTGTCCTCTATCCGCCGGGGGTGAGTTTGCCCTTGGCTGTGACGTCCTAGAGGACAAGCAGCTTGAGCTAGAGTTCTTGGCAGCTGCTTCACCTTCTCTTTGTGCCATGCTGCTCTCCCATGAGGGAGACCCCTACGCCCTTGACATACCAGCTCCTCGGACGTACCGCGAGGCAGTGTCAAGGGCGTAGGCCTCTCAGTGGATGGCGGCCATGGACTCAGAGTTGGCGTCTTGGAGATCCACATGCACTTACGTCAACGCAATTTTCCCTCCTCGCGCGATTGTTGTCAATGGCATGTGACTCCTCAAGGCAAAGTGACCGCTTGGATCACCACCGGTGTTCAAGGCGCACTATGTGGCGAGGGGCTTCACTCAGCGCGAGGGAGTTGATTTCTTTCAGACCTTCACCCCAACCTCGAAGATGACTATTCTTCAGGTATTACTTCACGTAACAGCACAGCGAGACTAGGAGCTGCACTCCCTTGACTTCTCCACTGCTTTCCTTCAGGGACGACTGCACGAGGAGATCTGGCTGCAACATCCTCCTGGCTTCATGGGCACCTTCCCACCTGGGACCCAGTAGAGCCTAAGCCGACCAGGCTACGGTCTCCGCCAGTCGCCCCGTGATTGGCACGACACTCTGCGCTCCACGCTTCGTGACCTTGAGTTTCACCCTTCTTCTGCCGACCCATCGCTGTTTGTTCGCTCCGGCTCCACTACGTTCTTTATCCTGGTCTATGTCGACGACTTGGTCTTCGCTATAGCTGACAGTACAACTCTGTTCGAGGTGAAGTCTGAACTCCAGAAGAGACACACGTGCACTGACTTTGGTGAACTCCAGCGGTACCTCGGCCTGCAGATCATGAGGGACAAAGCCGCTCGCACCATTAGACTCTCACAGTCACACATGGTGCAGCAAGTTCCTTCAGCAGTTCGGGCTTTAACAATCCACCAGACAGCCCACTCCTCTTGCCGTAGACCACAGACTCACGGACCCTTTTCTTGACGAGCCCTTCGAGCCTAGTGGTCCCTACCCAGATGACTTGTATGCGTCTGGACCTCGCCTTTCCCCTCAGCGTTCTCTCTCGCTTTTTTGCAACTGGGAGACACCGCCGTATTCAATGGAAGGCTGCTATGAGGGTGGCGAATTACTGGCGACTACATCAGGCATGGGGCTTATGCTTGGTGGGAGAGAGCCAGTTGTGAATCTTCGTACGCTGATGACGCGGAGGCTTAGCACTCGACCCAAAGTTACTGCTTCAGCTTGGAAGCTGGAGCTGTGTCGTCGAGGTCTACACGGTCGTTGTCTGTGACTAAGTCCAGTGCCGAGGCAGAGCTCTACACAGGTGCTATGGCTGCGCAGGAGCTTCGTTGGTTGACCTTCTTGCTCACAGACCTTGGTGAGCAGCCTCGTTCTGCTTTGACCTTGCTCGCTGACAACAAGGCCATGATTCTCTTGTGTCGCGAGCCTCGACTGGGGAGCAGGGCGAAGCACATTGACGTAAAGTACTTCCTCCTACGAGAGCTGCAGCGTCGCGGCCCAGCGCCCTTGGACTTCGTGGCCTCATAGGCCAACAGTGCGGACATCTTCACCAAGGCCTTGGCACCTGGTGACCACGACATGTTCTATGTGCAGTTAGGACTTGTTGACAGTGGTGCTCGCTTGTAGTAGCTTTTCTCTGCTTGTCATTGCATCTATATATAATTGTGAGCTCTTGAACTGGCCTTGTGGCCATTTTGCTTGTGCTCGGAATGCGTAATGATATTATGATCCACCCCGAGCTTGTCTTGTTTCATATCTTGACTAGTCCTGTGACCGTTTCTTTGCCTTGCTTGCGTTGATGCCCCTCACTTAGCCTATGGGGGTGTGTGAAATATAGTACATTATCATCAAAGGCTTTACTAAGATGCACTTTTGAGGGTACAACTCTTTCTAGGGTTGCTATTTGTATCACCCACCTTGCTAGTCAATTCATTCCGTTGCTAGCTGTCAAAACATTATAGCTTATACATTTGTGTAGGCTGTAGTGGGGTAGCCCATAAGGGGTACAACCCAATTAGGGTTAGTACTTGTACCCAACTCTTTCATAGTTCAATCATTCTCTCGTTCTAATCTTCACATGGTATGGAGCTGGTTCCCTCATGGGAACTGTTCCTAGGGCCCACCAACTTTTTTTTCCTGCCCGGAGCACGCTTGGCCCCTGCCCGAGTCACGCCCCATGTCGTTCCTCCTCTAGCGGCCTCTAGCGGCCCCTTTTACGGCCCCTAACGGCCCCGTCGCGCCGCCCTTGCGACCCCGTCGTGCCGCCCTTGCGGCCCCGTCGCGCCGCCCTTTAAGCGGCCCCGTCGCCGCCCCTTACGGCGGCCCCGTCGCCGCCCTTTCAGCGGCCCCGTCGCCGCCCTTTTCAGCGGCCCTGTCGCCGCCCTTCCACGGCCCCGTCGCCGCCCTTCCACGGCCTCGCCGCCCACCCTTACAGCGGCCCCGTCGCCGCCCTTCCGCGGCCCCGACACCGCCCTTCCGCGGCCCCGTCCCCGCCCTCCAGCGGCCCCGTCGCCGCCCTTCAGCGGCCTCGTCGCCACCCTTTCAGCGGCCCCGTCACCGCCCTTTCAGCGGCCCCGTCGCCGCCCGCCCTTTCAGCGGCCCCGTCGCCGCCCTTCCGCGGCCCCGTCGCCGCCCTGCAGCGGCCCCGTCGCCCCCCCTTCCGCGCCCCAGTTGCCGCCCTTTCAGCAGCCCATCACCGCCCTTTCAGCAGCCCGTAGCCACCCTTTCTGCGGCCCGTCGCCGCCCTTCCAATGGCCCCGTCACCGCCCTTCCACGGCACCGTCGTCGCTCACCCGCCCAGCGCCCGAGCCGCCGAGCAGCCCAGCCACCGAGCAGCCGAACCGCCGAGTAGCCGAGCCGCCCGACCGCCGAGCCGCCGTGCAACCGAGCCGCCCGACCGCCGAGCCGCCCAGCAGCCGAGCCGCTGAGCAGCCGAGCCGCCCGACCACCGAGCCGCCCTGCAGCCGAGCCGCCAGACCGCCGAGCCGCCCAGCAGCCGAACCGCCGAGCCGCCGAGCCGCACCGCAGCTGAGGCACTGCCGCCTGTCGGCCTGCCCGGGACCGCCCCACTTGCCTGGTAAGAGCAGCGTCTCTGCCACTACACTGCCTTGCCCCACTGTACTCATTGCTTGTCTACTGCTGTCATGGCCTCCCCTAGTGTTCTCACCTTTGACGCTGAGGGTCGGGCAGTTGACTTTGAGGTCTCGATAGATGATCTGCAGCTTTTCCTACAGTGCGATAGGGCAGGCGGTCTCTCCCTGTTTGACCTTACTTCTGGTGCCTCTCCTGCCCCTGCTGCTGATGATGACGCTACTAATCGCTCATAGTGGGCCACCCACGATGCTGCAACTCGCCTTGTTGTGCGCCGCCACTTACCGACCACTGAGCGTGCACACTTTAGCCAGTACAAGAGTGCTCAGACCTTGTACTATGCTGTAGTTGCTCGCTACTCTTCCCTTGCCACTGCTGCCCTTAGCCGCCTCATGCTGCCGTACCTATTTCCTGACCTCGCCGCCTTTCCCACAGTCGCTGACCTCATTACGCACCTCCGCACTAGTGACACTCGCTACCACACTGCGCTTTTTGTTGAGTTCCGCGCCAAGACCCCCCCCCCATGTACATCACCCTCTACTACATAGTCACCCGGCTCCCTGACTCTCTCCGCGTAGTCACGGACCACTTCCTCTCAAATTGCCCCACCACTCTCACCGTTGACCTACTCGAGAAGGCCCTCCTAGCGGCACAGAAGAGCATAGTCGCTGTAGGAGCCTCTCATGGTGACCCTCGCACCCCCGTCTTTGAGGGGTGTTCTCCCTCCCCCCTCTTGCCTTCTGTTGCCTCTGCTGCTGCGGCCCACCTCTTTGGTTTCGAGTCGGTCGGCGCTGCGTTTGCCCCGAGCGGGAAACGCCGCACAGGCAAGGGCAAGGGGGGCAAGGGCGCTGGGGGGGCTGGAGGGGGTGGTGGAGGTGGTGGTGGAGGCAGTGGAGGGAGTGGGGGTGGTGGTGGGAGTGGTGCTGGGGGTGGCGGCGGCGGCGGCAGAAGTGGAGGCGGCGGAGGCGGTGGTGGTGGCGGAGGGAGCGGAGGAGGCGGAGGTGCCGGAGGAGGCAGAGGTGGAGGAGGCGGCGGAGGAGGCGGCGGCGGCGGTGGTGGAGCGGGTCGCGACTCTGCGCAGAGGAGTGGCTCCGGTGGTGGTCCGCGCCAGCAGCAGCGGAGTGGTGTGACCCTGTCCCCTCAGCAGCTTCGTGAGTGGTACACTGCGCATCAGCGCGATAGGGGTTTTGGTCCCTGCACTTACGTCCTCCATACCGGCGACCGAGCTGGTGAGCAGTGCGGAGGCTCGCACTCCACCCAGCGCTACTTCGGTCGCCTGATGGACGCGTGGCGTCGCCAGTTCCCTGAAGCGTCAAAGATCCCTCGCTGGGGAGATCTGTCTAGAGCGGGGGTTGCCGTCATTGATCTTGACTAGGAAGCTATCCTTGCTGCCATGTATTCCGTGACTACTAGTGTTGAGGGTGACTGTTACCTGTGTGTAACGCCTGACCCGGGCATTGAGGCCACTGCTCTAGGTGCTGGTGAGGCTGCTGCTCTAGGTGTCAGTGCGTCTGCTGCCCCAGGTGCCAGTGCGTCTGCTGCCCCAGGTGCCAGTGTGTCTGCTGCCCCAGGTGCCACTGCGTCTGCTGCCCCAGGTGCTGGTGAGTCTGCTCTCTCAGGTACTACGTCAGCTCACCCTTAACTCGGGTGCGTCCTGCTCCTTCTTTCGAGACTGCACCACTCTTACGCCGCTCGGTCGGCCGGTTGCAGTCTCCCTGGCAGACCCCTCTGGGGGTCCTGTCCTTGCTAGCTTCTCCACTATCTTACTGTGCTCGGCAGCCCCCTCTGGCACCCTGTCAGGTCTCTACCTCCCCTCGTTCTCTACGAACTTGGTGAGTGGAGCGGACCTATAGGATAGGGGGGTTGACCAGTTCACTCCTGCGAGTTAGCGAGTGACCCACTGCATGTGTGCTCGGATAGGCCGACACTTGGCCACGTTCACCCGTCGGCCTGGGTCGAGCCTGTACACCCTTGTCAGTAGATCTGCACTGTGGATGCCCGATTGATCCTACGGGGGGTTATAGGCGCGTTTGCCTGGGGGGTTATTGGCGCACTCTGACCCGCTATTGAATCAAGCCCTTTTATCCCAATGGTCTAGTGGTTGGGATCCTGAGATGGTATCAGAGCGAAGGTCTCGGGTTCGAATCCCGGTGTGTGCACTTCGGGCATCCCAGTGCGGGGGGGTGTCAGAGGTCCACTGGTGATCCCCGATTGATCCTAGGGAAGGGTTACAAGCACGTTGGCCTGGGGGGTTATGGGCGCACTGACCCGCTACTTAACAAGCCCTTCTATCCCAATGGTCTAGTGACTGGGATTCTGACATGGTGTCAGAGTGGTCTCGGGTTCGAATCCCGGTGTATGCACATGTAGGCCGTTGCCGCTGTGCTCAGTCCTGGGCCTCCCAGTGTGGGGGGGTGTCAGTAGATCTGCACTGTGGATGCCCGATTGATCCTACGGGGGGTTACAGGCGCATTTGCCTGGGGGGTTATTGGCGCACTCTGACCCGCTACTGGAACAAGCCCTTTTATCCCAATGGTCTAGTGGTTGGGATCCTGAGAACCCTTACTACTGAGTCTCCTCCGGCTGCTGAGTCTGCCCATGTAGCTGCGTCGAGTCAGGTGTTTGCTGCAGCGTCCAGGTCTGGTCCTGAGTCTGCTCCCTGCTCGTATCGTCTGCTGTCCCACCAGACTCTCCTTTGGCACCACCGCCTTGGTCACCCCTCCTTGCCTCGTCTCCGAGGCATGGCCTCCCGTGTCCTTGTCTCTGGTCTCCCTCGGTCTCTCCCTCCCCTACCTCCGGGGCCTGGCCCTACTTGCGTCCCATGCGTCGAGGGTCGACAGCGCGCCGCCCCTTACTCCTCCGAGTTTCCTTCCACAAAGGCTCCGCTGCAGACTCTCCACATGGACGTGTGGGGCCCAGCCCGCGTCAGTGGGCAGGGGCGCGAACGGTACTTCCTGCTAGTGGTTGACGACTACTCGCGTTACACCACAGTCTTCCACTTGCTCACCAAGGGTGAAGTCACTAAGGTTTTGATCGACTGGATCCGTGCAGCTCGTCTCCAGCTCAGAGAGAGTTTCGGCTCATACTTTCCTGTTCTGCGTCTGCACTCGGACAGAGGCGGGGAGTTTTCCTCTACCCGTCTGGGAGATTTCTGTCGTGCACAGGGCATCGACCAGACCTTCACGCTTCCAGACTCTCTACAGCAAAATGGGATTGCTGAACGCCGCATTGGCATGGTCATGGACGTCGCTCGTACGTCCATGATGCATGCGGCTGCTCCCCATTTTCTATGGCCGTTTGCGGTTCAGTACACCTCGCATCAGCTCAACCTTCAGCCCCGGGTCTCCTAACCAGAGACCTCCCCTGCCTTGCGGTGGACCGGGAAGGTTGGCGATGTGTTTGCGTTTCGGGTCTGGCGATCTCGGGCGTTTGTCCGCGACTTGTCTGCGGACAAGCTGTCCCCCCATTCTATTCCCTGCGTCTTCCTTGGCTTCCCCCCTGACGCGCTTGGGTGGCAGTTTTACCACCCCACCTCGCGCCGTGTTCTGTCCTCCCAGGACGTCACCTTTGACGAGTCGGTGCCTTACTACCGTCTCTTCCCCTACCGCACTGAGCCCCTCCCCCCGCCGCCGCTCTTCCTTGCACCAGGTCCTCCCCCGGTAGACCCCCTCTCCCCTCACGGTCCTGCCCTGTCAGGTGTGTCCCAGGTAGACGCAGTCGAGCCTTTCGAGGTAGCTGTTGACTCTTGTGCTACAAGAGGTGCTGAACCTGCAGGTGCCGGGTGTGGGGGTGCTTAGACTGGGGGTGCTGAGCCTGGGGGTGCTGAGCCTGGGGGTGCTGAGTCTGGGGGTGCTGAGCGTGGGGCTGCTGAGCCTGGGGGTGCGGAGCCTGGGGGCGCTGGGCCTGCTCGTGTGGCCGTCGGCGGTGCTTCGTCGAGGCGGGAGCCGCTCTCTCCACAGGAGCTGCGCGAGTGGTTTGCCCGCCACTAGAGACGTGCTGCTGAGACTGGGGGTGCTGCTGGGGCTACGGGAGTTGGTCCTGCTGGAGCAGCTGGCAGTGCTGTTGCTGCTGGAGCTGGAGTTGCTGGGGGTGTTGGTGTTGGCGCTGCTGTTGGCGCTGGTGCTTCTAAGGGTACTGGAGTTGGCGCTGTTGGAGCTGGAGTTGCTGCTGGCGCTTGTGCTGCCCTTGGTGGTACTGGTGCCGTCCTTGCTGGTTCTGGAGGCGCTAAGCGGCCGAGGCCGTACTTCGTTCCGCTCGTGGAGCAGGTTCTTGGTCTTTCGCCCACTCCTAGTCCTGCTCCTCCCTTAGAGTGTCCACAGCCTGTCCAGTCGCAGTCACAGCTACAGCCCGCCTCCCCTCTACCTGCTCCTTCTCCCTACACTGGTCCTACTGGAGGTCTTGCTGAGCGTCGTGAGCCTCCGTCTCGTCCTGCGTCGCCTGTTCATGCTACTCGCACTAGTCGTCGTGCTGCGCGTCCGCGTCCTCCTGCAGTCCCTAGCACACACCAGATGGCACTGCGTCCTTCCACTGCTCCTTTGTGTGTCTCGTTGCTGTCTCCTCCACAGTCCTCTCTTCCTACTCTTGCTGACCCGGAGTCTGACTCTCTTCATGCTGCTAGTCCTTCGGTCACGCGCCTTCTTGCTACTGTTGTCACTGACCCTTCCTTTGTGTCCACTGCTGCGTCTGCCCTAGTTGCTGAGCTTGTCCACTTCGCTGCTCGCTGTCATCTAGACTACACTGCTAGTCTCATTGTTGAGTCTGAGTCTGTCTGTCCTCTGTCCGTCGGGGGTGAGTGTGCTCTTAGGACGGACGTCCTTGAGGACAGGCAGGAGGAGTTCCAGTGCTTTGCTGCTGCTTTGCCCCATCTCGTGTCCACGCTGATTGCCCTTGAGGGAGACCCGGATGCACCAGACATCCCGACTCCTCGATCGTACGCTGAGGCGATCGAGGGTCCCTACTCCTCTCAGTGGCACTCAGCCATGGACGCAGAGATGGCCTCCTAGAAGTCCACAGGCACCTACGTCGACGAGGTTCCCCCACCTGGGGCGAACATCGTCAGTGGCATGTGGATTTTCAAGGTGAAGCGGCTGCCGGGTTCTCCGCCTGTCTTCAAGGCGCGTTACGTGGCTCGAGGCTTCAGTCAGCGGCAGGGAGGTGACTACTTTCAGACCTTCTCTCCCACCCCGAAGATGACCACTCTTCGGGTGCTGCTGCACATAGCCGCTCAGCGCGACTACGAGCTTCACTCTCTTGACTTCAGCACAGCTTTCCTGCAGGGCAGCCTGCACGAAGAGATCTGGCTGCGCCGCCCTCCTGGCTTCACTGGGTCATTTCCTTTTGGTACCCAGTGGAGCCTCTGGCGGCCAGTCTATGATCTCCGCCAGGCGCCCCGTGAGTGGCACGACACACTGAGGACTACGCTTGCGGCTCTTGGGTTTGCTCCTTCTACAGCCGACCTCTCGCTGTTTCTGCCCACCGACACCTCTTTGCTGCCGTTCTACATCCTCGTGTACGTCGACGACTTGGTCTTTGCCACTGCTGACATTGCTGGACTCGCCCACGTGAAGTCCGAGCTGCAGAAGAGACACACATGCACAGACCTGGGTGAACTACGCAGCTACCTTGGCTTGCAGATCACCCGGGACAGAGCACAGCGCACCATTACCCTTACTCCGTCACACATGGTGCAGCAGGTCCTTCAGCGCTTCGGCTTCACGTACTCCTCGCCTCAGGCCACTCCTTTGTAGAGTCCGTAGAGCCGAGTGGCCCATACCCAAAGCTTGTTGGCTGCCTCATGTACCTGATGATCTGCACACGACCTGACCTTGCATACCCTCTTAGCATCTTGGCACACTATGTTGCTCCTGGGAGACACTGACCAGAGCACATGGCTGCAGCGAAGAGGGTGTTGCGCTACGTGTGCAGTACGTCGGGCATGGGGCTAGTGCTTGGAGGGCGACGTCGAGTGGTCTTCACAGGTCACGCTGATTCTTCTTGGGCTTACGACCAGGCTCAGCAGCGGTCGTCACAGGGTTACACCTTCAGCCTTGGCTCCGGCTCTGTTTCGTGGCGGTCTACCCGCTCGTCTTCTGTTCTTAGCTCCAGCTGTGAGGCTGCGATCTACGCAGGGGCCATGGGTGCACAGGAGCTACGCTGGCTCACCTACCTGCTGACTGACCTAGGAGAGTCGCCTCGTTCTCCAATTCTGTACGTAGACAACAAGGCCATGCTGGCCTTGTGTTGGGAGCACAGACTGGAGCACAGAACGAAGCACATTGCTCTCCGCTACTTCCTGGCTCGTGAGCTGCAGCAGCGTGGTCAGCTCCGCCTTACCTACGTGGCCTCTGAGGCCAACACTGCTGATATCTTCACCAAGGCCCTTCCGCCTTGTGATCATCAGCGCTTCTGTACTTTGCTAGGTCTTGTGCCTACATGGCCTCACTTGCTCAACTCTTGATCTTGTTTGTACTGTCCTTTTTCTATGCCTGCACTTGCTTGTTTACCTTTATATATATGATCTTGCATGTGAACTGGCCTTGTGGCCTCACTCTTGTGCTCGGACTTTGTGGTGACTTTGTGATCCACCCTGGGCTTGCTTTGCTTTGCTTGACTGGTCTTGTGACCACTTGTTCTCCCCTAGTTTGCCTATCGGGTTGTGTTAGAACATTATAGCTTATACATTTGTATAGGCTATAGTGGGATAGCCCATAAGGGGTACAACCCAATTAGGGTTAGTACTTGTACCCAACTGTTTCATAGTTCAATCATTCTCTCGTTCTAATCTTCACACTAGCTACTCTTTAGAACGGTCGTGAGGATTCACGAGAGTGAAATATTACAGGGTTGACAGGTT